GATTATGTAACATTTCCAGGTCTGCTTTTTAATGGAGAAATTAACAATTTTTTTTTTAAAAGTTAATGTCTCCATTGAAGTCCAGAGTCACACTAATCATTATTTCGAGGCTCATATTTTGAAGCTTAAAAATCAGAAAAGTGTCTGAATTTCACTGATTGATTGACATTGAAAAGATGAAAGATGTGACTAATGGTTGGCCTTTTATCTGAACTCAGTTGTAAGGTTTTGTTTTTGATAACAGTGACTCACTTAAACTCCTGAGTCTACCTAAAAATAAAAAGTGAATGGGACATAATCCTTTTGGAATAATAACATTAATGAATGAAGCTGCAAAACAGACGAGTTGTGAATCTCCAGGTCATGCTAATCAATTTCCATTTCTCAAAGAAATGGCCATTAACCCTTAAACTCCTCACTATTACAAATTTACTGGAATTGCCTATTAAAATTCCATTAAACTCACCAGACAAATTGAGATTGGGGAATGTGAAAGTAATGTTTTAGATTTTTCCAAAGTCGAATGGGCTGCCTGCCCCTGAGGCTGGAGTCTTGCAAGTACCTGGAGGAGGCCTCAGGATGGCTTGCTGGGAAGTGACTGACAGCTCTTCTCAATTGTCTCATCCAGAATTACCGGGATATGAAGGTGACAGCTACAGAAGCCAGCAACTTTGTTGAAGGACTTCTCCTTCACAATGATGACTTGACAGCTATTGCAATCTTTTAGTTTTCAATTTGATGAAGGCTTCAGACATTGTCTCCATTTTGAGGCACTCTGAGTCCCACACCTACTTCAAAAGTGTACACCTCCCCCAGTGGACCTGTGAGCTGTCTAGAACATCAGACCCACTGTTCATGCTTACTACCTTTGAATCCATTCACCATCCTTCAATCAAACAGTGAATGGGGAGACACCCTCATAATGGCCACGTCCCATAAGATCATAAAACCAGTGGACAGCAATGGGATTGCCATTTATTTTCATCCTGATGACAGAAAAAAAATATCAACACTGGTGAGATTCTGTCTCTTATTTCTTTTTCTGCACCCAATTTGATTCAAATGAACCCTCCTCCATCATTTCTCTGCTTTTCCCTTGATCCAAAAATCTCACATTGAAGAACATAAGCTGCTGGCCCCACTATTAACAATGTCTTGTTGAGCCTTTATCACTTTCAGCAAGTAACAACTGAAACAGGTTTTCAAGCTGAAAAGAGGCTCACGCAATTATACGGCACGGCAAGATTTGGCCTAATCAAAAGTAATTTCTAACACAACCATTGGATTGCACAAAACTGCTGGAAGTGCCTTCTTTTCGATGAGACACTAAACCATCTTCCCTCTGCCTGTTCAGGTATTCGTAAAAAGGCCTTGGGAATTTTCCAGAGAGAGCTAGGGATTTATCGTTGGTGTTCCAGCCAATGTTTATCTCTCTGTCAGATGCGCCGAAGCTGGTGGTTTATTTCCCACACGACTGCATGTGGGCAGTTTGCTGTGGAAAAATAAACTGCTGCATTTTCTCCATTACATCAGTAACTGCACTTTAGAAATACTTCATCAACTGTGAAGCAACATTGGAACATCTGCTCGTCCTAAGAATTGCTATATAAATGCAAATTTCATTTTGTTGCTGGCACTTGCACTTCCGTGAACATTTTGTTTTCATTCTGCAAATAAAATAAATTAAACATTAGCTACTCATATAGCCCTTCCTGTCTGATTTCCTTTCCATGCATGTCATAAGTTTTTAATTCAGGGCTAATTTTGAATTGAGGGAGGGAAAGGGGGTTCTGAAATAAATAGGGAGAGAGGGGGAGGCGGATAGAAGATTGATAAAGGAGAAGATAGGTGGAGAGGAGACAGACAGGTCAAAGAGGCGGGGATGGAGCCAGTAAAGATGAGTGTAGGTAGGGAGTTAGGGAGGGATAGGTCAGTCCAGGGAGGACGGACAGGTCAAGGGGCCGAGATGAGGCTAGTAGGTAGGAGATGGGGGTGGGGCTTGAGGTGGGAGGAGGGGATAGGTGGGAGGAAGGACAGGTTAGGGAGGCAGGGACAAGCTGGGCTGGTTTTGGGATGCGATAGGGGGAGGGGAGATTTTGAAGCTTGTGAAGTCCA